GGTACTCTCTGGGCACCAGGGGAAGAGGCACGTCCCTTTCCCCTGTCTACTGGTTGATGCTTTCTGGGCTGGGGCTTTGCCCTTTGTCAAGCCCATCAAAGCATCAGCCAGGTCAAGAACAATAGAATCTGCAGCAGATGATGATGCAGTCCCAGGTGGAGGGCTCCCACCCTGGGATGCTGCGTCACTATCTGATCCGGATGCTGCAGCAGCAAACAAGGCACCCTTTCTCCTTCTTCGCCCTTTGGAGGAGGGTCCCTTCCTTCCTTCAGAAGGTGCTTCCTGGACATGGAGTTTGGACTCCAAGTCCAAGGCTGCTCTGCCAAAAGACCGCCAGTCCTTGTGGCCCCGAGAGAAAAGAGCAAGCTGGAATTGCTCAGGCGCTGCCCTTAGGAAATGAATGAGCAGATCCTGCTCACTCATCTCCAACCCAGGAGTCGATGTCAGACTCTCAAAGGTGGAATACAGTTTGGACAAGGAGCCATCAAACTTTTTTTGGCCCAGGCGCATGATTTTGTCTGCTGCCTTCCTGGCTTGCTCCTTGTCTGCAAACCGGTCCTGCAGGGCCTGCAGAAATCGAGCCACCCCCAACCTCTGCGCCCAGTCAGCCATCTCCATACCTTGCTTGCTGGAGGTAGAGGTGCACCATTTCAGTGTTGATCGCTCCACGCGAGCAAGGATGGCTGACACCTTCACATCCTCATCACATTTGAACCCACTCAGGTAGGTCCTCTGTGCAACAACCCAGTCTGCCACATCCACCTTTGGGTCCTCACCTGAGAACATGGGTGGCAGTGTCAACTTAGTCCGCTGAAACTCAAATGGTGACGAGGGTTGTGAAGCTGTTGTTGATCTGGGTGTAGAGGTTGGAGTTGCAGGTCTGGATTGTGGGGTCTTTTGGGGGAGTTGCATGTCTGGATTGTGCGGTCTTCAATGTATGCAGCTGACTGCTGATGGTGGTGGTCGGCGCAGCGAACGTGCTGATGTCGCCGAGCATTGCCACGACGTGGTCAACGCGGTCCTCCAGTTGGCGGCTAGAGGGTGCACTGCTGGAAGCCCCAACAGCTGGTCCTGGTACAGCCTGTTCCAGGTCCAGCAATCGGGCATTGAGTGCCCGAGTTGCATCCTCGTGGCTTTGCACCATGCGGCGGAGCTGTGCCAACTCCTGATGCTGTTGCGTCAGGTCCTGGTACTGTCTCTCCAACTCTGACCGTTGGTAGTTGCAAGCATACAACAACTGCGTCACGAGTTTGGAGAGGAACTCCTTGTGCTTCTCTTCCGGTGTTGCCTCGTCGCCGTTCGGTTCAAAATGCCAGTACTTGAGTCTGTCGATGCTGTTGGCTTCATGCCGCTGCAGCAGATCCTGGGCTTCCTT